CTATTGTATTTCATATAATAATTTTACAGGTAGTATTGTTCTAATTATACCTTTAATGGTAATACACTATAAATAAGATGGGATGGATATTCAAAGAAAAATTATATAAATATATTGTAAAAGCAAATTTGCATTTATTATATAAAATTTAGTCTTTATAATTTTATTATAATTACTGTATATCAATGTTTTGTACAGATTGTAATGTTGTAAACAATAATGAATAAATGTAGGTTACCCCATAAAATAGAGAGAGAGAGAGAGAGAGAGAGAGAGAGAGAGAGAGAGAGAGAGAGAGAGAGAGAGAGAGAGAGAGAGAGAGAGAGAGAAGGGGGGGGGGGGTGGAGAGTGAAAAGAGAGTACTTAAATATTATTATAAACGTATGAAGCATAGCCCTTCAACAAAAAAGCTCCCTAACACCTGTAGTAGGTAACAACTGAATAATAACATTTCGAAACTCGTAATTTTAGTAAAATATTTACAATCAATCGACAACCGATTCTTATGTCAGATCTATTTTGAGAAAATACTCGGATTCGATCTGATTGGCTAGTTTGGATGCAGAATTTTTGTACTTAAGTCTACCACCATACGCCATTTTCATACCCTATTAATAACAATTTCGACTGCGGTAATTCAGGAAAATAGGAAAAGACAACCATTTAACTTGTACGCGATTTGTAAAAACAAATATAAATACAATAAAGGATGCCTGGTGGAAAGAGTGGAAAATCCGGTCAACAGCATAGCGCTAACCACAACGGTGGTCAGTTTAAAGGCCAACATGGGGCTAAACACCACGGTGGACAGCATCAACATACACAGGCTACAAACATCTTGAGAAGTAATGCGCCGAACTATTATCATCAATCAAGAGCACAAAACAATCAAGGCAATTATTAATCGACTTATTTGAGGTAAGAATTGAGTTTATAAACATCTATAAGTAAGCTACAAAATTTTGTGTCAGTAATATCTCGAAAATACGTTATGTTATTTATCAAAAACAGCAACAATAAAAAACAAAAAAAACAAAAAAAAAAAACAAAACAAAACAAAACAAAACAAAACCAAAAAAAAAACCCCACACATATAATACTTTATTAAAAACCTCAATTGTAAAATCATCAAACAGCATTGATAGTCTTTTTCTAGCAATCCTTGAGAAACAAACATGATTTTCATCATTTTTTCCAGAAAATACAAATTGTACATATTTATATTGAGTATCGTGCAGAAAGAACGCATATTATAATGATTTCGTCTCAACAACTGGTAATGGAACGTGATAGAGGTTAAGACGAATAAATATAAACAAGAAATAAGGATACAATCATCAATATTTGAAGTATTTCAAACATTGCTCTGCATAAATAGGCTTTTAGATTATTTAATATCCTTTCGCATATGTACGCGTGGAGTTGAATAGTCGTAGTGGAGTTGAATAGCTTGGTGGTTAAGATGTTTGCCTTCCAATTAACTTAAGACCTAGGGTCCTAAGTTTAATTCCTGTCAGTGTTGAAGATTTTTTTTACACGACCAAAATAAAACTATATTCCCTAAACGTATATTGAGATTCAGTTTGTGTAAAGCATCATGTGTGTATGTTTGCCTTGTGAAAGGGATTGTGGCCTAAAAGTAGCACAGCGATATAATTCGCCATTGACAATCCTTGGTACATGTGTTGAGCGCATAAATACAAATAAAATTCATTGGTCATAAATGGTAAATAATCTAGCCCTATATTTTAGATAATTATTTACAAAATGTTAATATTCGGTGTTCGTCCTTTTACTGTTTAGGTTTGCGATGTCTCCGGATGACAAATTCATCGTGGTAACCAAATTCAAGTAAAGCACAAGCAAATAATGCCAAGAAATACAATGGAATCTGCAGCCGTATGACATTTATGAACTGACAAACTGATGAAAAAACATCTTTTTGACCTTGACTATCTGAGCAACATGCATTTTTAAAGAATTATGTAAAGATTTTTATCTTATCATCGAGTACTTATTGTTATTGTTGCTGAATAACACATACACCATTAAGCATTACCTATATACCCTTAAGCTCAACAACAGCAACCTAAACTTCACATTAAATAAGGAGGTATCCATCATCAACATATTGTGCTTGGAATTTAAGCTGGTCTTGGACATAATCTATTTTAACGCTGTTTAATTTGACGGACAAATTTGATGCAATACCTGAATTTACTTTACTTAATTTTAAACGCATGATGAGTATTTTTAGAAGTCTATTGTTGGTTTTAATAAACGCATTGGCTTAAGCTTAAATTCGCTGATTTTAGCTACTAACAGGTATACGCTTAATAAAGTATCAGCAGAAGAAACAATTGCTCAGTAAAGATGTACTATCAGTAAAAAAGAAAGGAAAATACTTCAACAATTTAAATCAAATTTTGAATATCTTATTAGCAAGAATTAAATAAATTATTAACTTCCAACGAAAAACGGATCAAAAAAGTAGGTTTCACCAATTTACAGACATTTACTACAAAATTCCTAATATTGATTACAAACTAATTTAAGGAACTATGAAAAAGTATACAGAAAAATATTTATAAACTGTATGAAAATTGACGGTAACATTACCTCTTATTCACATTTTTAATATGAAATTAATATTTTCATTTGTTCATGACTGAATGACTGATAGTACATCTTTAATTTCACCTCTTTAAATAGCATATTAACATTAACCTGAAGTTTATGTTGATTTGAAAATAATGATCTAATAATGATAATGGTGATTCTACTATATTTGAATGTTCTGCTTCTATAATGTGTGGGTTATATGATGAAAAAATTGAAAAGAATAGAGGAAGCAAGTGATTATTTATGTGAACTAAAAATGCTATATCAACATTATAATTCTGCAAATTCGTGATTGCTTTTATGTTTTGGTGAATTAAAAAATATAAAGGTATTTGATTATATGGTAGTGCCTTTAAATTTTTGTCTAGCCCTTTCTCAATTATAACAGCTTTAACATTTTAGTACAAGTTAGTATGCGAATACATTAAGTATCAATATGCACACAATATATATATATATATATATATATATATATTGTGTGGGAGCATATTTGGTTATATATATATATATATATATATATATATAATTTTAGCCAAATATAACTGCAGACGTTGTTTCAAAACGTTTCTTAAATTTGATTATAAGAGTCGTTATAATAAATCAAAACACACAAAAAAGGGAATTTAATTTCATTTGAAAAGTTATTCTTTATATGGTCTAACAGCACCAAGAATTAAATACGATTTTTTTTTTTTCGAAAGACATTATTTATTTTAAACGAATAACAATGTTTACACAAAGGAACAAACGATATTTTTGAAGCCAGTAGGCTTATTTTCACATTATTTCTTTGTGTGAGTGTATGTATATGAGTTGATAATGTAAATTTAAACTCTGAAATAGCAGAAAATAAAATGCCACTTTTAAAACGATAATTTCTATACTAAGCCCCCTACGAGTAGATAACTCGTAGTAAACTCGAAGAACTCGTAGGTAGCTCGTAGAGTATTCGGGGTACTCTTACCTAGCTCGTACACAACTCTGGATACCCGTCAGCGGTTTTGTCATCTACGAGTTTGATGCGAGCACCCAAAAACGAGTACGAGTAAGTACGAGCGCACCGAGTTGGCTCGTACCTAACTCGTATCTAATTCGGTACAAACTTGTTATGCTCGTAATAATCTCGTAGTTAACTCGGTGCTCTGCTCGGCATAATTCGTA